TAAATGAGCAACCTGCTAGGGGGACAACTAAGACCCTTCTCTTCTTTTTTATTTGAAAGGAATTAAATGTAGGAAATTTTGTCTTCCCTGAGTGAAAGAAGAGTAATAATTTCCTCTTAACATAAGCAAATTCATTCATTTTTCTCTTTCATAAACATAAAGTGCACACCAACACCTGAGTTGATAAATAAACCGATTGATTTCTCATCAACTGTCTAGCCTTATAGGGACAGCAATGGTGAGACCCACTGCTGACAAAAAGATATTAATTTCAAATGTGGTTAGTAGCAAGGGTGATTGTCAAATCAGATAATAATCCAGATAAAGGTATAAATAGCATGTGGATGATATCCCTGGGTTATGATGAGAAGCAAGAAGTAATTTAGAAGTGTCTGCAGATTTTATAACTGTGAGAAGGAAATAAAGTGAATGAAATAACCCTTACAAGATTGAATTACTTTTTCCTTTGAATTTTTTCTTGATACTACGTGTTTTCATTTATGAAGTCATGCTGATTAAAACACAAATTCAGAATTTTTGACGTTAAGTTATGAATTTTGATACTCATTATCTGGGATCATATGTGTCTCAGCGGTCCTAGAGGACAGAAATCCTGCAGATATGAGTCAATGATTAAATTTGTATTTTTATATTTTAATTTTATTTCTTGAAAATCTGCAAAATATGAGGTAAAACATCAAGTCACTCGCCAAAGACTGCACAAACATTTCATTCTAATCTCCTTCTTCTTGTTGTTGTTAGGTGCCATTGAATCAGTTCTGACTCATACAGACCCTACGTACAAAAGAAGGAAAAACTGCCCGGTCCTAGGCCATCCCCACAATCTTTGCTATGCTTGAGCCCATTGTTGCAGCCACTGTGTCAATCCTTCTCCTTGAGGGCCTTCCTCTTCTTCACTGACCCTCTACTTTACCAAGCATGATGTCCCTCTCCAGAGATGGGTCCCTCCTTATAACATGTACAAAGTATGTGAGATAAAGTCCTGCCATCCTTGCTTCTAAGGAGCACTCTGGCTGTACTTTTTCCAAGACAGGATTGTTTGTTCCTGTGGCAGTCCATGGTATATTCCATATTTTTCACCAATACCATCATTCAAAGGTGTCAATTCCTCTTCTGTCTTTCTTATTCATCGTCCAGCTTTTGCATGCATATGAGGCAATTGAAAATACCATGGCTTAGCTCATGTGCACCTTAGTCCTTAAAGTGACATCTTTGTTTTTTAATACTTTAAAGAGATCTTTTGTAGCAGATTTGCCCAATGCAATATGTCATTTGATTTCCTGGCTGCTGCTTCCTTGGACACTGACTGTGGATCCAAGTAAAATGAAATCCTTGCTGTCTTAGTTATCTAGTACTGCTGTAACAGAAATACCACAAGTGGATGGCTTTAACAAAGAGAAATTTATTTCCTCACATTAAAGTAGACTAAGAGCCCAAATTCAAGGTGTCAGCTCCAGGAGAAGGTTTTCTTTCTCTGTTGGCTCTGGAGGAAGAGCCTTCTCATAGATCTTCCCCAGACCAGGAGCTTCACTACGCAGGAACCCTGGGTCCAAAGGATGTGCTCTGCTCCCAGCACTGATTTCTTGGTGGCATGAGGTCCCCCAGTCTCTCTGTTCACTTCTCTCTTTTATATTCCAAAAGAAACCGGATCAAGACACTATCCAATCCCATACTTTCAGTCCTGCCTCATCAACACAACTGCAGCCCAACCCCCATCGTTAACATCATAGAGGCAGAATCTACAACACATAGTAAAATCACATCAGAAGACAAAATGGTGGACAATCAAACAATATTGGGAATCATGGCCAAGCCAAATAGATATGCAAATTTTGGGGGGACACAATTCAATCCATGACAGGCTGTATCTTTGAAAGAATTATAATACAGTGAAGAAGAAAAACATTTAAAAAAAAGAATATCGGAAGGAACATGAGAAGTTCAATCCCATGATTTTGGAGAAGTTGAAATCAGAGCAAATAGATCAAAGGACCTAATCCTGTTTGGAGAAATAAGCGAAGGTTTCACAGAGGAAGTGATGTTTGAGCTGTGACCTGGGTGGCTGACCAGTTACCCATTCCAGGGCCTTCCAAAGGGCAGGAACAGCATGTGCAAAACACACAAGCTGGTATCACAGAGATGATGTGCTGAGGAGATGCTTACAAACATTTAACGTGTCTGGAGCACAGCCTTCATGGGACAACAAGGTGAAATGACACTGTAAAAGAATGTAGTGTCTAAATCATGGAAGGCCTTGTATTTGTTTATTATTTAGTTTTTATCTTTCATCCAAAGATGATGGATGGTCATTGAAGAAGTTTAAACCAAGGATTATCCTGATCAGATGTATATCTTTAACATATCCCTCCAGGCACACTTCTAGAGATTGGAGAGGAGCAGGTGAGAGACATTCTTCTCCATTTAGTAGGGATCATTGAAGTCATTAAGGCCACATTTTCTTCCAAATATTATGAAATAGTGTGCAGTTCATATGATAAAAACGTTTAAGACATTAATTCTAAGAAGAGCCTCTCTGTTCACTAAGATTCATTAACTTAAGGAAAAGGAACTTGCATAACAGGTGAAGTAGATTGTTGTTATTGTTGTCTTGTCGTTCTTTTAATGACCAACTCTTCAATGTATTGAGAAAATTTTGAAGCTGTCAAGGACTTTATTTTACTTGCATCCACAGTTGACACCTGTTGAAGCAGCAGTAAAGAAATCAAACGACGTATTGCACTGGGCAAATCTGTCGCAAAAGACCTCTTTAAAATCTTGAAAAGCAAAGATGTCACTTTAAGGACTAAGGTGCAGCTATCCAAACCATAGTATTTTCAACCACTTCATATGCATGTGAAAGATAGATAATGAATAAGGAAGACTGAGGAAGAACTGATGTCTTTAAATTCTGGTGTTCATGAAGAACATTGAGATTACCATGAACTGCCAGAAGAACAAATATGTCTTGGAAGAAGTACAGCCAAAATGCTCCTTAGAAGCAAGGATGACGAGAGTTCATCTCACATAATTTGGACATGTTATCAGGAGGTACTAGTCCCTGGAGAAGGACATCATGCTTATTAAATCAGAGGGTAACGAAAAAGAGGAAGACCCTAAAGAGATGAAACATAGCATCAGTTGTGAGGATTTTGCAGGACCAGGTATCATTTTGCTGTTTTGTATATAGAGTCTCTATGAGTCAGAACTGACTTGATGGCACCTAACAACAACAACAACAAAGTTGCAGGGCTATTTTATTTTTTTAAAATACCAGAACCGATTCAGTGAAGCAATCTAATCATCTCCATTTGATTGCTTTTTAAATAAACATCAATTTGAATTTTAGCACAATTGAGAGAAAACAGACTATTCTGACTAGTTAAAAAGACAGATCTTTTAATTCCATAAATTCAAAAATCTTTATTATGTTTGATATAATAATCTAAGTAAATTTATGACTATATCTTATCTTCCCATTTGGCCTAGAAAATATCTTTAATTAACTCTTTATGAGAATAACCCTTCTTTCAGTTCTGTTATCTTGCTATTTCAAATCTGCATTTCTTGCAAGAAGGTCTCTCATCTAGGGTATTCAACAAGTTCATTAACACATAAATATGCAGTCTCCTTACTCAGGAATCAACTACACTTGACCTTTCATCGTTTGCTGCTGCTTAGTTCTCTCTTCCTCCTCCTTTTCCTTCTCCTTCTCCTTCTCTGTGTTCTTCTCCACCCATCTATTTCTCCTCCTTTTCATCCTCCTTCTTAGTTTTTTGAGAAAATTTTAATATCTTACATGTGTTGTGAGGATACTACAATTATTTGCCACTTTTCTTAACCTGGAATCCTAGTGGCTTTAAGAACAAAGACTTTGGAAATACAATGATCTGATAAATGGGAATGATTGGTCATCTCCTGTATTTTACCAGATATGTGGAACTCCATTCAAAAGAGAAACTGAAATTAGAGCGTTGATAATGTTCAGAGTCTGCACAATAGACCAAGAGAAGCGCCAAAGAGAGTGGTGAGAGTGAGGGTGAATTCAGAAAGAGGACCAAGTTCTACTTACCTTATGATACACAAGCATTCCTACATGGAGATCAGAAAATGCTTCCAGGATCCAACCACAGAATCAACACATGTTCTGGAACTGCCTATGTCAAACTAAGAGTAACTGAAAGAGATTATGGATAATAGGAGCATTGTGAACTACCTAGAAGGAACACTAACTGTATGTCGAATCATATTGCTCTTAGTTGTCCTCCAGCTGGCTCTAACTCACGGCAACCCTGTGTACGATGGAAAGAAACTTTGTCCGATTCTGCACCATCTTCATGATCATTGGTATCTGAGTGCCTTGTTGTGGCCATTATGTAGTTCCTTCCAATCTAGGGGCTCATCTTCCAGCACCCTGTAGGACAATATTCTGTTGTGAACCTTAGGGTTTTCATTGGATAATTTTTGAAGTAAATCATTAAGCCATTCTTACTAGTCAGTCTTAGTCTGGGTGCTCTGCTGAAACTTGTCCACCATGGACGACCCTTCTGGTATTTGAAATACCAGTGGCATAGCTTCCAGTATCATAACAAGATGCAAGCCACCACAGTATGACAAACTGACAGACGGGTGGTGATGTCACATAGAGAGTGGGAAAGCAGGTGGCAAAGAAGCCCAGAAGATGCTTAGCTGGTGCAGTCAGTTTGCTGCACCTTTAAGTATATCTAAAATTTCGCTGAACACGAATGTGGTTAAATTAGCTTTAAGAAGGACAGAAAGGATTTCATTCCAGGGTGACACTAAGACTCTCATAGATTATTTACCTTTCCTATTTTTAAATATTTCTTCAACTTCTTCTTTAAAAGAGACAGATACCCAGTATTTACCTAAGCAAGATGTTTTAACCTGAGTTTAATTCATTATGTATTGTTTGGCTTTTAAGGCAATACACAATTAGGTGATATTTTCACTTATAAATCCTACAGTTGTTACAGAATTTTTTCTCTTGGAGACAAGTAGCCATCAACCTCACTAAATACGTATATATTCCTTTGTTTTTTATAATGGTCCTCACGTTTAGGGTGGAGATCACTTGAAAAATGCCAGTTCTTCTTTTCTCCTCTCTATGATCTTATCTTCGGAAGTCACTTAATTTCTATGAAAAATCATTAATTTTTCTCTTTTTTTGTTTTCTTTTCTCATTCAAACCCTTGAAATAAATTGTAAATGGGAAAATAAACACAGTTCATGATAGATTCTGAATGTCAACATCATGATTAAAAGTTCCACAAACGTCTGTTTTCTTTCAATTGCAGTCACAAGATCTTGTGTTTGTCTCATCTTGCAGCCCCAACCTGTGCTCCCACGGATTTCACACTCATTTATCAAGAATCAATGCCACATACTCTCACTGTGAACTGCCAGCATCCCAAGGATGTCAATAAGAATATTACTGGTAAGCATCTCAGCTGAATTTCCCAGGGTTGCTCTGCCTTGGCCTGTGGCTATTTACCTCTTCCTCTGTGCAGCCATTTCTGTCTAAGCATCTCCATTGAATCCCTGACCCTCTCAGATTTTCTCCCTTTGCCCCCAGTGACCATGGAATTCTAATGGTGCACAGAAACCCACACACAGACTCATTTTATTGGAGTTGCCTCACGAAGGATATGTATTTAAATTAGTACAGATTTTTGTTTTTCATTCTATAGAGCATTATAACAACCCTCTAATGGAGTGCCTCAGAGCATAAAAAATGAAAGAAGAGCCAGTTGTTTGACAATTATGAATGCTAAAGAAATTCAATGCCCATGTATTTTTTTATGGCACATAAGAAGGGGGTTTGTGTGGAGATTTTTAGTTTCTCACTTAGCTTTTAGATTCTCATTGAAATCACAAGGTTTAGAAAACATCTACTATTGACTGACAGAAATTGAACTTAATGAATATTTCACAGTGACAGATTTTATTTTGTCAAATTTTGCTGATAACATCTATGACTAATGAAAGCATCCAATAGAGGCCTGCAATGTTAATTTAGTATGAAAAATATCATGGAGTTCTCTCAGGGATTCTACATTTACATGATCACTTTAGGCTTTTAATACATGTCTCCATAGTATACAATTTTTATGAAAATTATTGTCTAACTCAGAATGTGTACCTCATAATCTAATTAACATGAACCTTTGAGTTACATAATGTAAGAGTCACTCTTTTTCCTTTTTTTATAATTGGCATTTATAGTTCACAGAAATACATCTGGAGAATGAAGGGTTTAACATGTTTCTTAATTTGTTTTATCATATTTGGAATAATTGTGCTCATGAAGAACCTATACATAGAACAAGAGGCAGTCGTTTGAACAGAACAAAGGAGTAGTGCTTGGATTAAAGTCTGGAAAGGTGTGGCTCAGGGTTGTATCCTTTCACCACACTTATTCAATCTATATGCTGAGCAAATAATCCAAGAAGCTGGACTGCATGAAGAAGAATGGGGCATCAAGCTTGGTGGAAGACTCATTAACAACCTGGGATATGCAGACGACATGACCTTGCTTGCTGAAAGTGAAGAGGACTTGAAGCACTTACTGATGAAGATCAAAGAGTACAACCTTCAGTATGGATTACATTTCAACATAAAGAAAATGAAAATCCTAACGATTGGACCAATAAGCAACTTCATGGTAAATGGAGAAAAGACTGAAGTTGTCAAGGATTTCATTTTACTTGGATCCACAGTCAACACCCATGGAAGCAGCAGTCAAGAAATCAAAAGACTCATTGCACTGGGCAAATCTGATGCAAAACAACTCTTTAAAGTGTTGAAAAGCAATGACGGCACTTTAAGGACTAAGGTGCACCTAACCGAAGCATGTGAAAGCTGGACAATGAATAAAGAAGACCAAAGAAGAATTGTCACCTTTGAATTATGATGCTGGTGAAGAATATTAAATATACCATGGACTGCCAGAAGAATGAACAAATCTGTCTTGGAAGAAGTACAACCAAAATGCTCCTTAGAAGCAAGGATGGTGAGACTACTTCTCACATATTTTGGACATGTTATCAAGAAGAATCAGTCCCTGGAGAAGGACTTCATGCTTGGTAAAGTAGAGGGTCAGCAAAAAAACGAGGAAGACCCTCAATGAGATGGATTGACACAGTGGTTGCAACAATTGGGCTCAAGCATAAACTATGATTGTGAAAATGGCTCAGGACCAGGCAGTGTTTCGTTCTGTTGTACATAGCATCCAATGGGTTGGAACCGACTTGATAGTACCTAACAACAACAACAAATCACAGTTTCAAATTAAAGAAAAAAAAAATCTATGGCAATAAAGCTCTTCTCTCTGGGTAAGTTGAGTTTCTCTTTTTCTTAGAATTTGTACCATGATATTGCAATTCTAATTTTTATTTCAGGTCACTACATTAACTATTAGAAAATTCATTGTGAATATGTTTACATTTGTGCGGGTACCTTTTTCAATAATAAGGTTTCTAGTTGGCCTGACTTTATTTCAACATCATCCTTTTCTATTTTGCATTACAATTACTTGCCACTTTTGTTATCCTGGAATCCTAGTGGCTTTGAGAACAAAGACTTTGAAAATAAAATGTTCTAATAAACGGGAATGATGGTATCTCCTGTGTTTGGTGCCATATGTGTAACTCCATTCAAATGAGAAGCTGGAACTAGAGTGTTGATAATGCTCAGACTTCGCACAATAGACCAGGAGAAGAACTGAAGAGAGTGGTGAGAGTGAAGATGAATTCAGAAAGAGGAGTAAGTTCTGCTTACCTTGTGATACACAAGCATTCTTACCAGGAGAACAGAAAATGCTTATAGAACCAACCATTGAATCAACATATGCTCTCAAATTGCCTATGTTACAATAAGAGTAAGTAAAAGAGATTATAGGTAATAGACTTGGAGCATTGTGAACTTCCTAGAAGAAACACTAGTGGCATGCTTAATCATATTGCTCTTAGTTGTCCTCCAGTTGGCTCTGACTCATGGCAACCCCAGGTATGACAGAACGAAATGTTGCCTGATCCTGCACCATCTTCTTGATCATTGGTATTTAAGTCCACTGTTGTGGCCGTTATGTAGTTCCTTCAAGCTAGGGATCTCATATTCCTGCACTATATAGGACAATATTCTGTTGTGATCCTTAGGGTTTTCACGGGCTAAATTTTAGAAGCAGATCATTAACCTGTTCTTGCTAGTCAGTCTTAGTCTGGGTGATCTGCTGCAGCCTGTTCACCCTGCCTGACCCTTCTTGTATTTGCAATACCTGTGGCATAGCTTCCAGTATCATACCAAAATGAAAGCACCACAGTATGACAGGCTGACAGATGGTGACGGTATCAAAGCATAGAGAGTGAGAAAGCAGGTGGGGAAGAAGCCTGAAAGATACCAAACTGTTTCAATCAGATTGTTGCCACCTTTAAAGCATATTTACAATTTCACTGAACACAAATGTGGAATAAGAAGCTTTAAGAAGCACCGAGTGTCATGCCAAGATGATACCAAGACCCTCAAAGATTTCTTACTTCTCCTATTTTTAAATAATTTCTTTGACTTCTTTTTTAAAAGATAGCTAGTATTTACCTAAGCAAGATATTTTAACCTGAGTTTAACTCCTTATGTTTTCTTTGGCTTTTAAGGCAATACACAATTAGGTGACATTTTCACTTACAAATCCTGTAGTTGTAACAGAGTTTTGTGTCTTGGAGACACGTAGCCATCAATCTCACTAAGCATGGATGCATTCCTTTGTTTTTACAGTGGTCCTCATATTTTTAGTGTAGAGACCACTTGAAAATGCTAGTTCTCTCTATGTTTCTCCTCTCTATGTTCTCAAATTTTGAAGTCATTTAACTTCCATGAAAAATCATTAATTTTTCTATTTTTGATTCTTTACTTACTTAATTCAAACCCTTGAAATAAATAGAAAATGACAAAATAAATATGATATATTTCATGATAGATTCTGAGTGTCAACATGATGATTGAAAGTCCCACAAATATCTGTTTCTTTCAATTGCAATGACAAGTCCTTGTCTGTCTCACAGCCCTGACCTCTGCTCCCACGGATTTTACAGTCTTTACTCATACTCCAGAAGTGAGGTCGCATTCTGTCATTGTGACCAGCCAGCCTCCCCTGGAAACCAATGGGAGAACTACTGGTAAGCGTTTCAGCTGAATTTCTCTGTGTTGCTTGCCTTGGCCTATGACTATTTACCTCTTGCGATATTCCACCCTGTACATACCCCTTTTCATTCTCAGCGTCTCCATTGGCTCCTTGACCCTCTCTGATTTTCAGCTCTGCTGAAACCTGTCCACCATAAATGACCCTACAGGTATTTGTAACAACATGAAAGCCACTACCGTATGACAAACTGACAGATGGGTGGTGGTGTCATAAAGAGTGAGAAAGCAGGTAGGGAAGAAGCCCAGAAGACACTGAACTGGTTCAGTCAGCATGCTGCCAGCTTGAAATTATATTTAAAACTTCACTGAACACAACATGTGGAAAAAGTAGCTTTAAGAAGGAGAGGGTTTCATGCCAGGACGATACTAAGACCCTCATAGATTTCTTACCTCTCCTATTTTTAAATATTTCTTTGATTTCTTCTTTAAAAGATACCTAGTATTTACCTGAGCAAGATGTTTTAACTTGAGTTTAACTCAATATGTTTTCTTTGGCTTTTAAGGCAACACACAATTAGGTGACATTTTCATTTATAAATCCTGCAGTTATAACAGAATTTTGTGTCTTGGAGACACGTAGTCATCAATTTCTCTAAGTATGGATGCTTTCTTTGTTTTTATAATGGTCCTCATATTTTTAGTGTAGAGACGACTTGAAAATGCTAGTTCTACATTTCTCTCTGTGTTCTCAACTTTGGAAGTCACTTAACTTCCATGGAAAATCTTTAATTTTTCTATTTTTGTTTCCTTGCTTGTTTAATTCAAATCCGTGAGATAAATCGTAAATGGCAAAATAAACATGATACAGTTCATGATAGATTCTGAATGTCAACACCATGATTAAAAGTCCCACAAATGTCTGTTTTCTTTCAATTCCAATGACAAGGTCTTGCCTCTGTCTCATCTCTCAGCCTCAACCTATGCTCCCAAGGATGTGACAGTTATTACTGCAGAAGGAAAGCAGCATGCTGTCACTGTGAGAAGGAATCCTGCCCAGAAAGACAATGGGAAAATTAACAGTAAACATCTCAGCTGAATTTCTCAGCCTTACTCTGCCTTGGCCTGTGACTATTTACCTCTTGTGCTGTGCAGGCCTTTTCTGTATCCCTTTTCTGTCTCAGCATCTCCGTTGACTCCCTGACCCTCTCTGATTTGCTCCCCTTGTCCCCCACTACTGATCGTGGAATTCTTCTAATGGTGCATACAATTCCACTCACAGACATACATCGTTAGAGTTGCCTCACAGAGGATATGTATTTTTTTTTTTTTAAAACTCAAAAGTATAAAACTCTCAGTAAAAAAGAAAAAACAAACAAACAAAACAAACAAACAAAAAAAAAACAGGAGAAAATCTTCAAGATCAAGGGCTTGGCAAAGAATTCTTAAACTTAATACCAATAGCATGATCCATAAAAGGAAAAATTGATAATCTGAACCTCATCAAAATTAGAAACGTTTGCTTTGTCAAATGCCATGTGAAAAAGATGAAAAGATAAACTTCAGACTGAGAAAAATATTCACAAACCTCATATCTAACAAAGGACTAATATCTAGCATATACAAATAACTCTCAAAATTTAACAATTAAAAAAAAATACCAGAGACTGAAATCAGGAAATGAGCAAAGGACATGAACAGACATTTCATTGAAGAGAATATAAAACCAAAAAAACTAAACTCATTGCCGTCAAGTTGATTCCGACTCTTTAACAACCCTATAGGAGAGAGTACAACTGCCCCATAGGGTTTCCTAGGCTGTAAATCTTTTTTTTTTAAATTTCTTATTTTATGTTAATTTTTTAATTGTATTTTAGATGAAGATTTACAGAACAAATAGTTTCTCAAGAAAGAGTTAGCACACATATAGTTTTATGACAATGGTTAACAACCCCACGACGTGTCAACACTGTCACTTCTCAACCTTGGGTTCCCTAGTACCAGCTTTCCTGTCCCCTTCTGCTTTGTAGTCCTTGTC